AAAGCTAGTCCAAAACTGCAGTTACCATGATCCTTCTAATCCTTAAAACAGAATCTATCCTATTCTCCTTGCATAAATCATTAAGACAGATGATACAAATGGATTTGACAGGTAGGTCATGGCCTATCACTTTTCATCAACAGAGCATTGGGTTAACTGAAATCAAACCATTTCACTAATTAGGTTAAGACCAGAATAAAACAAATGTACACAAAATGTGTCAGAGTCAATAATAATTACCAAGGTAAAAATGCCAAAATGTAGAAGTATTTATAATAAATGAAAGTTAAAGGAGAGTAATTACCAAATATGAAAGATTATTTTAAATGATGTAAACATTTTAAATAATTTGTTTCTATCTTGTACTGATTAATGATTTATATAAATATTTTTATTCACTGCATGTTGTGAGATAAATTAACCAGTGCAGGTTTTAGCTTTTCCTCTAATGAAGGGCAAACTCCTCCAAATGGAGGTACCACATCTACTCTGCAACACTGGTACTGAAGAAGTCAAAATAACTTGGGTTATCCGGTATCATGTGGGATATGTGGATGCAGAATATAACCACATGTAAACTGGACTTTCTGAGCCTGTGACACTTAATATTATCACCACGCAGAAGCACCAAGTGTGAAGAGTCAGAATCTTAAGAGTTAAGAGTCACTCATCCTTTCAATGTCTAGTAAATCCAAAACATATTACTAGATGATACAGAATAGAAAGGAAAGGAATTGAAGGGCTGGAAAGATTTTGGATATATCATGCAAAATGTAAAGTCACATAACAAAGCAAAACTCACTGTTGGAGGGAAGTTTATGAAGAGTACAGGTGTCCTACAACATTCTGGGCTCACAGGCTATACGTTCTATTATTTTTTCGTTTTTCTCATTTCATTGGAGAGCAAACTATTTGAAAATATATATAATAAAAAGAGATGTGTTCATTCAGAACATATGGAAAAAGATTATCATTGAAATGTATCCCTCCAGCCACGTGGACTGATCATAATTCATTCATCCAATCAGGAATCTTGTTTACACAACTGATAAGACGGAATCACTCCAGTGCAAACTAGTATTTCATAGTATTTCTCTTTAGTAATGGTTCCTTTTATTTTCTTGTTAGTGTCACTGAGAGAATTCGTAAGGGTTTTTGTAGATAATGAAAGAGACTTTATTGTTCTTCGTTTCAAAGACACCTATTTCCTGGTGTGCACTAACAACTGCATATGATAGAATGGACATTTATAAAAACATATTTAAATTCATTTTCTGCATATTAATACATCCTAGGGAAAATTCTTTCTTGCGCCATGGAAATTCTGTGAAATGGCATAAAACTGATATGCCTTTATTAATGTAAATATTCTTAAATTTCATGAGTCAGAATTAATATAAAAATCTGAACATGTCTACTATATTTTTACTTATTTGCTTTTGCTTTTATTAAACATTTTCCACCACAGAATGGTTCATTTTAAAGAAAGCATGTTTACATGTAAAACAAAACTGTATTCTGGTGCTCTCAACCTCACAGTTTGTTCTTCCTATTCAAGAATTAAGGATAGAAATTTTTTTGCTTTCATTTTGATTTTGTACATATCTTTTTTAAAACGCAGAAATTCCTTGGTAATATTTCAAGAATTTATGTATGTTCTGATTAATTTTATATTTCAAGTCTATGAAACATATTTTAAAGTAATAATCGTTACACTTAAAATACTTATTCTTATAACATTTTTGTTGAATTGAGTGTTAGGTATCAGATGTACTGCAACATTCCTGGCAAGGGAGTGCAACCGATACTTTACAATGAAAATTCCCTGTTTTACTTCAGCTCCTTTCCTTGATTGAAAAACTATGAACACATCTTGTTTCTTTTCACAAATGAAAATATGTTCAAATGCTATTAATCTATCCTGTTAATTCTACTCAACGTCTGCTATGTTTGTTAAACACCAAAGATTTTTTCTAAGCAAGTTGTCAGCTAAATATTTACATGGTCTTCCATGATAATAAGACTTAACTTGTCTTAAGTAATCAGCAGATTGTCCAGAGAGTATTATGTGAAGTGCAACAAATTGTGATCACTTCTACTGGAAGTTAAAATGGTTTGGCTAGCTCAGACTACTTTTTGCCTGTTTTCATCTTAGCAGAAAATAGTAATGACCTTCTGAATTCCATTCTTTTTCAGCATTTTAATACACAGAATTCCATTCCAAAAAACAATAAACGACTACATAAACATATGCAGATGTTTACATTTTGAAAATACTAAATATTTTCTCATTTCTCTTTCAAAAAGTCACAAATATGTTTGCAAAATTTTAGAAATAACTTGATTTATAGTTATTTTTATAGCAGGTTAAATAGATGGGAAAAATAGAAAAATGACATTCTTTGGCAAATTACGTCAAAGAGAACCTGCTTAGATTATACAATGTACAATGTACAAGTGTACAAAGATATATAAGAACATGATTCTCTAGGCATATTATCCAAATGTATAAAACATCAGGTATTTGTCAAAGAAGTAAATGAATTTTAAAATAGAGAAAAGTTTCAGTTTTTAAATGATTCATTCTTGAACTACTGCATGGTAATCTTAAATGTAAGAGCACAGAATTATAACTTTAGGAGAAGACAAATAAGATTTAAATAAACTATTCCCCAATCCAAACACCAATTTTTCTCCACCAGTTGTTTCTTTTTTAATGATCTTTTAATACCAAGTATGAAATTTACTATCCAAAAGTCTAGTTGCCAAATTTCCTTGGTTACAAATCATTTAATAGGTTTTTTTGACTGCAGAAAGAATTGATTTTTTTCATTGTCTGGCTTTTATTCATACTTAAATCAGTAAAATATGGCTTCATATGCTTATGCAGCATGAAACTGTTCCAAAAAAGATAACAGAAATGGAAATAAAAATGCATAAACTTTATTCATCTACTGTGAAAGAATCAAAGAAAGTTAGTGACATGCAGAATTTCTGTACTAAATGCTCTTTGAAATGTAGAAACAATAATTAGTTTGGAATCATGACAATCAAATGAAACCTATCTCAATGAAAAATTAAGAGGTCTATGATTTTTCTATTCAAAACAATTAAATGGTAAAATTATATATGTGGCATTTGTAAAAATTTAATGTGAAAAAATAAAATGGATACATAAATATAGTTCATCACAAGTATATCTATTATTTCATTATTATATCCATTATTTCACTTTAAAGGTAGTGATGACTTTTAAAGAAAAAGATCATTTTATAAACATGATTTCTAGTTTCTGGAGATAGAGTGAATGCTTTCCTGAGGTCTTCAGTTCAATCACCAGTACCAAAAATAAAGAATGCTAATCATTTTTAAATTGATAACACAAGAATGTTGCCTCTAGAATTAGGGTGAATTGAGATTTAATTGACTATATACCACTAGAGTTTTTCATTGATTCCAAACATTTTTAGTACATTTACTAGTCATAAAGTCCTGCGAAACCTTTTGCATCTTCAACCAAAACAGTGGACTGACTGAAATGTGTGAATTGTTTCCATTCAACCATTAACAGACACATATCAGGATGAATGAGAACAAATTCTATTTATTGCAGCTTAGACCTGGTGAGAAAAATAAAACATTACCTGAACAGTCAGGTTAAATGAATTACCTGAACAGTCAGTTAAATGAATTTATGAAAGCACTGTAATGGAAAAGTACAAGGCACTCTAATACCAAAATGGGCAACTTATGTGCAATCAGAGAAGTGAAACTGGGTTTTATTAAGATCAGTTTGGCTGTGGTGTAAAGTCAACTGGGAAGATCTTCAGATGAGCAAGAAGAGATAATGGGAATTGTAGAGATGGAAAGAAATAGATCCAACTGTGCTTTAGAGATAAAAATCAACAGATTTGATAACTAGACGTGAGGTGTACGTTTGACAAAACGTAGTATAGTAGGCTAGTTTAGAGTTTGAGTTTTAGGTTTCTAGCATGGGCATGGGGAAGAAATTATGTGCATTTATTGACGTTAGGAATCCTGGAAGAGAGTCTAACCTTGCAGGAAGCAGCCTGACTTCCATGCTGAATGTATTAAATTTGAGATGCCTCTGAGGGAGGTAGTTTTGTTAAACAGGCATGCAAGTCAAAAAATAAACTTAGGCTATAAATCTAGGAGTTATTGGTTTAGAGAATCTGAAGCCCATAGTACAGAAGATCATGGTAAGAGAATGTGAACAGGAAAAAAAGGAGCCTAAAATCCCCCACATTTAAACCATCTTTGCAGGTTGAAAATGAGAAGAGGAAGTAGCAGCTACAAAGGCAAAGAAAATGAAGTAATAACTGATGAAGATTAAAACAAAGTATCAAAATCACTTTGAGTGTCTTGCTGAGGAGGAATTCTTGTATTACAGTAAATATTTATAAAGATCAAGAGACTTGACTTCCAAAATAACACCACCTGAGATTTCCTGAGGCACTTTATGGTCTGGGAAAAATATCTTCCCTGCCACTTAACAATATAATGAGAAAACATTAAATATGTGATATGAAAAGTTAAATGTTATAGACATACATTTGAAGTCAAATCTACAATGATATGTTTTCTTAAAAAATACTTAGAAAACTATTCTTAACCAAAAATGCATTTATATGGAGTTTAACAATACAAAGTGATACCTTTTTCTGCTTGTAAATATTGGTACCATTCCTTGATGATAGTTTGGTAAGATGTGGTTCTGATGATACAGAATATTTTAACTTGTATGTTTAATTTTACAACCTGGCTTGGAACTGCTTTTTATTCTTTCTTGGAGTCAGTCGCAAAGATAAACCAGACAATAAGGGAGAATTAATCATTATTGCACTGTTTAAATTTAGAAGACCTCAAAGCAGTTAAAAAGTTTGGTTTAGTTAATGAAATAAGCATTACTTTTCACACACCCTTTGTGAAAAATGTATACTCTGAAGAGCCTATTAACATATATCCCTTTCTTCTCACAGGGTTCCACAGGGATTCAGGGGCCTCAAGGTCCACCTGGGAAAGAAGGTCAAAGGGTAAGTAAATTTGGGACAGCTGATAAATATTACTAATTTGAGGGATAGTTTTTTTAAGTACCAAACTGTAGCAAGCAAGCAGATGGGCACTATAAAAGTATTCACTCTCTGGTGTCTGAAATTTAAGACTGGAGAGATTGCTTTTCAGAAAATTGTACATATTTTTACTATATTTGTGTGGCAGCACAAATATAGAGGTAATTGGATAAAAAAGAATCATCTCTTATCTGATCTAGATCACGTTGGTTATATTTCCTGTATTTGAGTTAAATAACTGAGAATCTTGGTGGAAGTCCAGCCCATTCATGAATTCAATAAAAACTCTGATTATTAACTCCTATATTGGTGAGCTTTCCCATTGTCCCAGCATGAAACAAATACTCAAGACCCACAACTTACAGGAAGGAAAAGTTTAAATGGACTCACAGTTTCAAAGAATTCAGTCCATTGTTAGCTGTCAACCAAGTTGAAAATTAAGTTTAACCACCACACCTCCGTTAGTTAGCCAAATTAATGACGTTGTTCACTCTTTGTAACTCTCCTTTCATTAGTACTTATTGCCTTTAAGAGCTATAAAATAGTGATTTCATAAATTGTAATTGCAATTGGAAGCATTAAGTGACCTTTTATCTTCAGTCTATCTTAGCCTCATCATTGTTCAATAAAAGGAATCCCTGTGCGGGGTTTTGTGGAGGCGGCGGGCTTGACTTGAACACTGGACACCCTGTTCTGGTGGCTTACTATCATTACTGCAGTCGCAAGCAGAAACACTGAAACAACACTCAGGATTCGGAGGCAGATTCATTTAAGTCGATGGGCACCGATTAGGATCATTCCCAGAATATCAGGCCCCAATCTCTGAAGGTCTAGGGCTTCTATCTGATGCACTAGCAAAGGCGAGACTGAACAGCCTGCCAGTTCTTCTGATTACCCAGCAAGGTGAGATCATCAGTTTCAAGGGTAAATTAATGATCACTAGTTTAGGAAGCTTGGTATCATGGTGCAGTCAGACATCCTGCATATTTGGTTGTGCTCGTGTGGTTACAGGGGTCAAGAAAATAATCTACAAAGCCGTGAAGCAGCTACAGAGTTTTTGAAAGAACAGTTTCTCTTGTACAGTTTTTCCCTTTCATTCCTATTTTGGAATCATTTTGAAGATTCAGAACATTTTGTACGCTTTCTCAAATGATTTTAAAACTCCTTGTGCTAGATGAGGATGATGAAGGTTCTGTAACTTGTGAGTTTAGCTGACTTGGCTGAACTTGACTTCTGATTAGATCCCGTGATTTCTTTTATTGTCCTTGTAGATTAATCCAAAATCTATGTTTAGGTCATTCTCAATTATTATTTTCAGTTCTGCTCTCTGGTAAATGTTTCCTCTAATACTTCAGAGTCCTTCATCTGTTTGAGGCCCAGTGATGTGTCAGCCTATAATCTCAGCATCCAGGAAGATGAGGCAGGAGGATCACAAGTTTAGGCAAGCCTGGGCTTTATAGTGAGACCCTGTCACAAGACAAACAGCAAACTAAAAAAGTTAAAAAAAAAAATTTTAATCCTGTTTTCCAGTGAATAGTCTCAGTCATACGTCACCTTGAAATTTAATAATTTGTTCAAATCATTAGTAAATCTAACCCCCAGAGCAGGGCCAGGCAGCACTGTGTAATACCAGCTGCCACATTCTCTACCGTGGATGTTCTCGGGATGTGATAATCAAGTGAGTACAAGTGACTGTGAACTCTACCTCCTCCCTGTTCGTCTTTCTTATTCAGTTCAAAAGATAATTATGAAAGACTTGTCACATACTAACTGAAGTGGAAAAACACTAATGAGACTTTAAAAAAAGTAGTATGCTTCAAATTGAAATTGTACCCTCTCAAAGTAGCATGTCAAAAGATGGGCTGAAGAATAAGCTTATGTACTTTTTCATGATAATTATTTGAATCATAAAGTTCAGCCATCATTGTATGCAGCTGCACTCCATTTATAAATATGAATCAGAAAATTTTGTATTACTTTAATTTCATTTTCTGTCAAGAGTAGCTATAAGAAAAAAATGTATTAGAATTTTTAGGCAGTGTTGGGCATAGTTGTCATTGTTGCTGCTTCTCTTTTGCAAATGCCATATTCATCAAAGTAGCTAGAGCTGACATTTCCAAAACTACTCAGTGAGTTGTTCTACTTTATAAGCTACTTGAATAGGAAAGTACTTAATGTAAGAAGTGAAGCTTTCTTACATATATTTGGGTCCATCTGAATGTTACTATTTCTTCTCTATTCTTTGTTAGGCAACACTAAGTTTTGGACACAAATGTATTTGTGTGTGTGTGTGTGTACATGTATATGAAACTTCTCAAAGCTAAGAGTAATAATTTTTCACCATAAATTTAGAAAAATCTATGAGTTAAAAATTTAATGGATCCATTTTCAACAAAACGGTATTTTGATTATAGTATTTGATGAGGGAAAATTGACTATTATTAATATTATTGCAATGAAACTTTAAAAAACACACCAAGCCTTATGGTCTGCTCTAAATAATTGCTTTCATGACTGAACATCAGAAAAAGTCAGTAACTTCTTGTTTTTTCTCAATGATCAGTTATATGGTAGCCTCTCTGCTCTATCCACATCTCAGAATTAAGATGAGTTTCAAACACAAATGTCACATATAAACATACTTGAGCAAATCCCAAAATTATAGAAACATGTTAGCATTGACACTGTTACTTTTGTTAGGATGTGAGAGTTCTGATTGATGGATTGCTTTCCTTTTTCTCTTGTATAGTTTTCTTAGGCAGAAGAAGAGCCGTATTTTTTGCAAATACAGCAGTATTTTCTGTTTGAAAGTTTTATTAGCTTATTTTACTTTTGTCTCTTAAGCTACTACATATTCATTTATAAACTAAAATTTTAGTTTATAAACGGGTTATTAACTGCAAGTCTTAGTTTGTAAACTTAGTTTTAACTAGTTAATAGTTGCTCTGAACTTTAACATTGTACCACGGAAAAATGTATTTGAGGTTTGTGTATGTGTTTTTTTTTTTCTTTAACCTTGTGATTTTCTTGAAATCTTTCATGTGCCATTAATTTTTTTCCTTTTTTAGTTTATCTTTTTGAAACCTAGCAAATTAAACATTCATATTTAAGTCTCACTTGCTGCATGGATCTGTATAACTCTAGAAATCCAATCCTCATCAAATGCTGCAGAAAGAACGGGGGTGATGCGGGGCAGGAAGGACAGAAAAGGACACAGTGGAGCAGGTAGTGCTGCCTGCCGGCGCCCTGGAGAGTGTGCAGCCCAGGACGAGGACAGTACGGTCCAGGAGGGGGAGAGGACACAGCAGGGTCAAGAATCAGAACCAAGAGGCTTAGGATGTGTGGCGGCTCAGCAGGACTGAAATTTGGAATAAGGCTGGGGTATAATGTCATTCCATTCCTGCCTTTTATTGCTGGGTCCTAATTTTAGTCCTGAGCAGAATTTTTGCTTTTTTAAGATTTGCCTTTATCCCTTTGTTTTGGCTCCAGATTATCCTTTCTGCTTAGGCCTTTCCCACACCCCCTCCCTCAGAAACAGTTCTTTGATTTCCTCCTCCTAAGATTTCCTGCAGTTTTTGCTTTCTGCTGAAGCTCCCTCCAAGGCCTGTCTGGGATCAAGATTCCACACATGTGAAGCCACACACAGAACCTGAGCCTCCTTAGTCCCCGGCCCCGCGGGCGGGAGGTGTCCCTCTGCACTTGCCCAGACTTGATGATGGCAGAGGAACCGTGTCATATTTCTTCAATGAGGTGGGAGCCCTGCTAAACCCAGCGAGGCAGGCCAAACAGCGTTCTGCAGTTGTGATGCACACAGCGCGTAGGTGGGTAGGTGGTAGTGGGGGCTCTGGCACTGGGCTCCCAGGATAAAGTCCTGGCCCTGCCATTCGCGAGGGTGAGATCTGGCCAAGTGCTGCAGTCCCTGCGCACCAGTTTCCTCATTTAGAAATGGAGATTGCAAACGTGCTTATCCAATCCGACTACTGCAAGGCCGGTGTGCACCGGCTGCCATCTTTATTCTGAATATTGTGGAGAAGGGAAGGCAAGTACATAGAATGAGAAGAACATCAGGATTGATAAATTCAAGAAAAAAGTATTTAAGGTGAAATGACTGACTGTCTTCACTGCTACTTCATGGAACTCACTTGATTTACCTTTTACCTAGATTCTTCCTTTCCCTTTATACCCTTGCTCATGTTTTAATGCTCCCAGAGGCTCCCTGAGGGCCAGGATTTATCCAGCTTGATAACTGAGTATATAAAAAACTTACAAATGTAGAGTAGAGGATTTCCTGTTCCTTATCCTTGCTGTGGAGTGGTTGAGGCCTCACCATTTGCTCTATATATCAGTTTTGCTGATCTTGTATACATTGACTAGGACTTTCATGGGAAAACATCTTGTTTTTCTTTGCTTATTTGTCCCTGAACTAATCTACAATAATGTAAGTATAGAAATCTTGCTCTCATAAGTACTGCGTTGTATGGATCCCATTAGGAAAAAGAACAATAAAATCAATGTTTCTAGGAAATCAACACATAGCCTAGGACTCAGTGAAGCAAAAATTTTATGAACTGATTTGTTTTGTGGTTCTTAATATATTTTTTCAAGTGAAATCAAGACTCTGTAAACTAGCCATGTTCAGTGAAAGGTTTCTAGAATGTAGCCAGGGACTAAAGCAAGTCAGACCTGCCTCAATCTGCAGTAAAAAAAAAATTAATAGTCATAAATAAAAGCCAGTTGCTCTCCTTACTACAGAGTAGTTTATTCCAAGTGCTGACTGTGCAAATGACTTCCTAGCGGCTATGAAACAAGTCCAGATCCTGGTAGAAACCACTTATTTTCAGAAATTGCACATCTTTACAGGGTCTTAAATCTGGGAAGGAGCTTTACAAAGAAAAGAACAAAGAGTAATGAATCTTAAGCTTCAGGAAGGAATATGATTAGTTTCAAATAAAATGAGAGGGAGA